TCAGGCGCCCACCTGGAGAGCACAGGAATACAATTCAAGTTCAGCAATCAGGCGCCCACCTGGAGAGTACGGGAATACAATTCAAGTTCAGCAATCAGGCGCCCACCTCGAGAGCACGAGAATACACTTCAAGTTCAGCAATCAGGCGCCCACTTGGAGAGCATGGGAATACAGTTCAAGTTTTGGCAATCAGGCGTCCACCTGGAGAAAAGGAAAGCATCTCAGATTATAACCATTCAAGACTCAAGATCAAGCTTCAGAAGACTTATAGATAGGAATCTTGTAACTCGTAGTTAACAGGCTTAGCTAGTCTTTTTCATCTTTTGATTTTTTGATGTAACATCAGGACCGCAGACCGGAACTTCGACGGAACGGCACCTCGACCGGCTCTCCACCTCGGCATACTCCATCATCTCACTCACCTCTGAACTAGACGTAGCCTGATTCCTTTATAGCCAAGGATATGTAGGCAGCTCAGATACCAGGGCTCGGTCACATTCCCCTTTCTCTTAGTTTTGGTCTCTCCAAATAAGGGTCGGGTCAAAAAAACCTGTCTAGTCGTTCTTTGCCTGAAAACTCTTCGCGTTCCCAGTCAAAGAGGGACAGCTGTAGACATGTGATTTTTGACCCTCCCCAAGATATATTTTAGTTTGTAAATATTTAATTTAGGCCTAATATAGCTATTTCAACTCATTTTTACTCTTTTACTTTTATTTTATTACAAGAAAACGAAAATTACAAAAAATAGATTCATTAATGTTTTGTAGTCATTTTTAATCTTTAAAAAATACCAAAAAAATAGTTTTGTTTTAATGGTCAGTCTTATTTTAATAATTATTTTTACTTAAGTAGAGCTAATTAATATTTTTGATAATACTTTTAGTTAATTAAGCTAATTTTAAACATAGCTAGTCATAAAGGCCCAAGTTTCTAGCCCATACCTTAAGCTCAATATCCAATACCCATTAAGCTAACCCTAGGGACCCTTCTAGACTCTTCTTTGGAATAAAAAATAAATAAAAAGACCCTAAAGACTTAACACAAAAAGACCTAGGGACTAATTGGCAAACTACACAAAAAATAACCTAAACCTAGCCCTATACACTAAAGATTTAGAGAGTAGCGTCATTTTCATGGGAGGAGATGGACAGCTCTAAAAAAGGGAACGACGGCCTTCATCAAAATAGGGGCAGCACCCCAATTTCCCATTTCCAAAAGAAAAATCCCTTTACGTATACTAAAAAGTAGCTACACCCTTAGGGATCGATGATCTCTTTTTCCATTCTGTGAAGGAAATTCAATTCGGAAATACCTTGGACATTCCTCTAACATTGTCACACTACTTTGGGTACTGAAGAGTGCAAAGGAAAAGTGCCTGCAAAGGTTTGTTCATATGTCTACTGATTTGGCTAGGCAAATTGGAATATGACTTGATGCATTCAAAATACAATTTATAGCAAAATAGCTAGGGAAAAGAGAAGGCGTGATGGAGTTTGAGTGAGGTCGCTTTGGTTTCGAGTTTTCGGGTGTCGATTCGAGATTCCATCCGGGTTCGCGTTTGAGTTTTCTGTCGATTTGAGTTCCGATTGTAACTGTGTTCTGTTTTGGTCCGTGTAATTGTTAGACGACTTCATCAATTGAAAATTCCAATTTTCAGGTTCAATTCTTTCCCTCTTACTTTATCTAATGGCAATGATTTCTTGTTTTAGGATATTTAAATACTAGTAATGAACTTTGATGTTGGTTTCCATTCGTGAAATATTATGTACAGCCGAGTTTCCTCCATGCCTTTGATTTAACGTATGAATCCATCCTTTTTTTTGCTTGCTTTGTTTTGTTGAATGCCGAATTCGAACAAAGGCATGATATTTCCTTTACTGTTGGTTGTGGGTTCGAATGTTCTGTTGGGTTTTAGTCTAAGATATATTGAATTGGTATTTGGTAGGATAATTTCCGAATCTGCTAATGTTTCTTTAGTTACTTTTAATTGTGTTAATTTTAACATGTTAAATGTTTTTCTACGGAATTTTTAATGCTATAACTTGTTTGTCTGTTTTAGTTAAATTAGTAGATGTCATTATCATGTTCTCATATTTCTTTTGTTAAAATCAAAAACAGTGAGGAAGAAGAGGATAAAGATTTGTTTAAATAAACGCAGACATGTTCGTATGAAAAGTGAGGTTAGGTTTGATGATTTTGAATCTGGGCCAAAATGTCTGTTAGGCCCAACGTCAAATAAATACCAATTACCTCTATATCTTGGCCAATTAGTTTAACGATCTAAGCCACCTTTGCTACAATTGACTTTCATAGTCCTCGTGCTTCACAATAATCTCAAATTAGATTAGCAAATAAATCACAAACATCGTAGCTTGCTTTAGGCGCGTTATTTTAATAATATTACCTTCCTAAACTCGGTTGTGCATTTCATGTGACCCAAATCCAAATCTTAACAACGTTGAATAAAATGTGTTTCAGATTGCGGGAACATTTCATGTGGTGCGGTCCAAAGACATGTTTTAGATGGCGTTAAAATCTTCCTTAAAATAATTAAAGGCGGTTTAAAGTTAAAATTGAACCATAGGCTAAAACATGTATTAAAATCATATAATAGGCCAATTGTAACAGTTGAGCGACCGTGCTAGAACCACGGAACCCAAGAATGCCTAACACCTTCTCCCGGGTTAACAGAATTCCTTAACTGAATTTCTGTGTTCGCGGACTGTAAAACAGAGTCAATCTTTCCTCGATTCGGGATTTAAACCGGTGACTTGGGACACCATAAATTATCTCAAGTGGCAACTCTGAATTTTAAATAAAATAATCCCGTTTCGATTGTCACTTAAATTGGAAAAAACTCCCTTATATACCCTTCCCGGGGTAGTAAAAAGGAGGTGTGACACTATGTTGCATTTGTAAGACTCCCGAAAGGGCATACCCTCGATATAGATGCCTAAACTATTACTCGAAATCAAAAACGGCTCCGACCAAATACATATGGCTACAGTCAAAACGGCTGCACCTGCCAAATTAAGGCGACTCGGGGACACTCGATCGTCGCTAACAAAATCGCAGGTCATTACTTCGAATCTACTTCGAAAAGAACCGATTAAAATAGCCTACCCTCAACAGGCAAACGAGATTCGACCATGTCAGTTCCAAATTACAAGGCTTCGAGCTACTCAACCTACGAGCTAAACCTTCCGAGGTGCTCGGACATTGCCGCTAACGACTTGAAATCGAGGTTCTTCCCGAACCGACGACGGGTCAGGAAAAATTATTTCAAAAAGACCTTAACGAGAGGAAAACAAAGCCTACAATATGCCCATGGGCAAAAGCGTAAGAGCCATTATTGCCAGCCAAACGAGCCTCAGGGCCGCACACTAAAAGGTCGCAACGACCAACAACATAAGAGCCACTATCGCCAGCATGAAAATTGAAAACTTGAGGATTAAAATGAGCTCGAGTCGTAACCCGATTCGGAGACCGGATCCAAAATAGTTAACTACACATGCCTAAGGGCACAACGTAAGTGCCATCGTCGCCAGGTCCACAAGCCTCAGTGCCACATACATAAAAGGTCGCTCCGACCCAAGGCGTAAGAGCCATTGTCGCCATCCTGTGCAGACGTAAAACTTGAGGGTGATTTGAGCTCGAGTCGGAGCCCGACTCAGAGACTAAACCCCAAAAATGGTTAAAGTGCATACGCCCAAGGGCAAAAAATAAAAGCCGTTGTCGCCGGCCTAATGAACATCAGGGCCATATTACAAGTTCGGATATTTCAACCGATCCAAAGGTCGAATCGACCCGATTGAGATCTTGATGAACAAGAGTACAAAAGATATAAATTGCGGGGTTCCCCCTCTTATTTTTCCATACTGGCGGTTGTGAGCACGTGATTTTTTTACCTATATGAATTACTCCCATAAATTCAAGATAAATAAATCTTTCCATTATTTGCAATTCTGTAGGTTTTTCATAGGATTTTTGTTAATTGCTTGCATTTGTCTACACATGTTTAATTTTATTTAATTCATAAAAATACAAAAAAAATATTGCATCTGCATTTAGGATTTGGTTTTTGCATTTTTTAATTAGTAAATTAGTGTTTTACAAAAGTGGAAAAATCACAAAAAAATAACTTATTTTTTGCATCTTTAATTTTAGTTTTGAATTTTGGCAATTTTCTTTTAATTTGGCATTTAATTAGTTGTGGTAATTATTATTTAGAGTTAATTAATTTAATTTAGTAGGATAATCTAGTTTTGAGATTTAATTTAGGTTTTTATTTTTATTTTTATTTGGAAAAAGGAATAAAAAAGAATTTGAAAATAAAAAGAAAAGGAAGAAGAATTGAGAAGATTCGGATTTTGGGCCAAAATTTAAAATCCCTCGAGCCTAAATTAATTCCACCCCTCAATTTGTCCAAAACCCGTTCGAAACAAGCCCAAAACCCGTCCCTTACCCGGTCCAGTCCCGTTGTAACCCCAAAACGACCTCGTTTCATGCCTGTTTGATCACAGCCGTTGGATTTCTATCATCCAATGGCTCGGAACTGCTCTGTCATTTACCATATAATGGTCGGAATTAGGGTCAAACCCCCTAACTCATCTTCCCCACTCTCATCTCACCCTCTCCAGAAGCTGAACCAAACATCAACCCTAGCGCCGCCCTAGCTTCCTCCGGTGGCGCCGCCGCCTCCAATAAGCCCCAAAATAACACCAAGGAAACCCCATGGCTCCCTTTTCCTCAATCCCTAACTCTTTTCCCTCAAATCCCTTTGAAACTCGTCGAATCTTGAATCAAAAATCTGAAACCTAAAATTCCAAAGTCCTACGATCGGCAAGCTTAGTGAGGATTGAGGCCGAAATTGACCTTGTTCATGTGTTTTCGTTTGAGAACACATGATTAAGACCCATTTCGGTCAAAATCGATGGCTCGAGGTTTAACTTCAAGATTTGGCCAGTCCGGTTTTAGGTATTTTCATTCTTTTTGTTGTTTCTTTTCTTGCATTTTTCTTCTTCCTTTTCATCTCTTTTCTACCTCCTTTTTTCTTTTTCTGCGTTATGTGTTCATTTTTAATTTTGTCCGTTGCATAATTAGATTAATAACCAAACATAGTTTATTTTGTTTTGGGTTTATTATTTAAAACTAATTAGTTCATTTCCTTTTTCTTTTGGGTTTTGGTTTTCATCTTAAAGGTTTCTCGTTTTTCCCTTAGCTCGTTAAATTGGGATTTTGGATTAGGGCTCGATTTGAATTCTGAAATTAGAAAGCCTAAAAAGGGATTTGACCTGGGTTATACAGACCCATAACAATTTGATTTGGGTCAACTTGACCCATACTTGTCTGGTCTCTGAAGTAAAAATGGGGCTCATAAGGGGTATATTAGGAAATTTAATAGGGGAATCTCTTGTAACTGACTAAGGGAAGCTTCATAGAAGCTGGCTTTGGGACTTTACTGAAAATACTAATTTTAAGCTAGGGATTGAATAGCAAAACTGAAAATATCAAAGGGTTTAAAGTGCAAATAAGAATCCCTTTTATGCTGCCCTACGACTTGCCTATAAAGGCATCTTTTCTTCTTTTACAAGTCAGATTGGAGAGATAAAAAAACAATAAAAAAAACGGCTAGATCTTTTCAAGCTCTGAAAACATTGAAATTTTTGCTGAAATTTGGTTTCTAGCTTCTGGTTCTTGCTTCCTTTCTGGTTCCTTAGAGTTTTCTAAAAGATCAAAAATCAATTGGCTGGATTTCTTTGGGTTTGGTATTACTGGTTAAAATGGTTTGAGCTTGGGAATTTTAAAAGGTTTAGTTTAAGTCGATGGGCTCCTACACTGTTACATTGCTAATTTCTACTACTGTTGTTTCCTCTTGATCTCCAGCTTGATATTCTGATTTTGTCTTGCTATATTCAGGTATTTTCCCAACCATTGTCAACGAGTGTTTAGGAACATGTACTTCGAGTTGAAGCCTGATTGAATACAAGTCATTCTGAGTTTCATTTCATCTGTTTTTCCTATGTCTCTGATGTTCTGTAATAGACCTAGTATTATATATGCTAGTTTAGTTGTCTTATGTCGTTTAGTATGCTGTAGGAATGAATCTGTGCTCCTTAAGAATTTGGGGTGTTGATTTTTCTGGATTCAAGTCAATGATGTTAATTTCCTAGATGTTGTTACTGTTGATAATGAGAAAGAGTTGAGTGAGTTAAGTTCAAGTTTGTTTGTGAGTTTAACTTAAGACTTAATTCAAGCATGAATGTTTGCGCAATTGGAGTCCAACATGTATTCTCAGTAGCTTTTGAAATTGCTTTGTGTCTCAATTACGTGTAGCGATGAGGCTTATCGGGTTTATCATTGGGTGTAAATGGTATTTTGTTGTTGGAATAGACTCGATATTGAGTCTTGACCCTTAGCTTTGGTTTCTTCCAAGTTTTGGGTTCATTAAACCTCAGATTCTAAGGTCATTCACAAGGGAGGACGTATGTCTTTGCTACTTGGGCTTGTTTCTTGAGCCCAGTAGTTTGTTTGTTTGTTGCTGGATTTTCTCATAGCAAATTTGACCCGAAAATGCATGCAAGATAAAATTGGAGTTTCAACTAGTTAATTTGTGTTGATTAGTTAAAATTCAGAAATAATCTGATTAGTTCGATTTCTTTGTTCTCGTATAGTCCTAATTGTTTGGCTTTTAATTGATTGTGCACAAATGTTCGTTTCTGAGAACTGGGCCTAATGCTGGCCCAGTTATTGAAAGATTAATTTCGAACTTGAGGCCTGCCTAGTTTATTCCGTGATTCCTCAAAGGATTTGGGCCATTCTTTGGGTTTTAGACCATGAGGCCACTTGAAACAGCATTGCACGACCTCGTCTTGTATGAGCCTACCTCTTAATTTCCGTCTGAATGCTGTTGTTGGCCCAAACCATTTCCTTCAAATAATCAGCCTTATCCCTATTTAAAGAAATTTCCCTTTATTTAGTTCAAACTTCAGTTTAGAAATGAATTTTCAATGCTCTTAGTGTTTAATTTAGATTTCGCTAGTAGTTGGGGTGAGCCATATTATATAACGCAAATAGTTTATGGCCCTTTGAAATCTAAGTTTAGAAATACTTTCGATAGAATAATTTAAGGTGCGCCGTGCCAAATTAAATCTCAAAATGCATGGCCCTCATTTAATTAATATTTGAATCCTTAGAAATCGAGGCGAGCCATTTAGTTGAATTTTCCATGACCTTCGCAAAGTTGAAAAATGCGTAGTTGCTTTAGGCGCGCTATTTTAAAAAATTACTTTCGTAAACTCGGGTGTGCATTTCATGTATCCCAAATCCAAATCTCAACAACGTTAGATAAAATGTGTCGCGGACCGCGGGTGCATTTCATGTGGCGTGGTCCAAGGCGTGTTTTAAATAGCGTTGAATCTTCTTAAAAATGATTAAAAGCGGTTAATAAAATCAATCATAGGCTAAAATGTGTTTTAAAATCAGATAAATAGGCCAATAATAACAGTTGAGCGACCGTGCTAGAACCACGGAACTCGGGAATGCCTCACACTTTCTCCCGGGTTAACAAAATTCCTTACCCGGATTTCTGTGTTCGCGGACTGTAAAACAGAGTCAATATTTCCTCGATTTGGGATTTAAATCGGTGACTTGGGACACTATAAATTATCCCAAGTGGCGACTCTGAACGTAAAAAATAATCCCATATCGAATAATGTCACTTTAATTGGAAAAACTCCCTTATATACCCTTCGGGGTGTAAAAAAGGAGGTGTGACAGCTCTGGCGACTCTATTGAGGATCGAACCCAGAATCTCTGGTTCAGGGTTCAAGAATTCGAGCTTAGAATAACTGTTATATTTAGCTTTATTTATTATCTGGTTTTATTCACATGTTTGAGCCTAATGTGCTAAATGTTGCTTTTTACTGCTTTGATATTGTTGAACTGTATATAAATTGTTATGAAGCCCTCCTCTCTCTGAGTCTTCTAAATCATCTGGGAAGTGTGCACTTCGTGTGACTTCTCTTCTGTTAGAGTCATATCCCAATTTTAGAACGAGGTTCGGACAAGTTGCAAAGTCGGTGAAGCTTCTGTATTCCCGGT